AAAATCAAGAATCTCTACAAATTAACCTTCATAATACTCAGGATACAACCCAAAAATTACATGTATGTAAAGGGGAAAAAAAAAGAGGGACAGTCTCAACAGAAAAGAAAATCAATCCAATTCAATAACAAATGAACCAGATTTTAGACATAAGAGACAAGGATTTTGAACTGGCTATTCTAAATCCTTTCAATGAAATAACATAAACATGCTTTCAGTGAATCAAAATATAAGCAGAGAAATAGGAAGCCTCAACAAAGATAGAAAAAGCACAAAAAAATCAAACAGAAATTTAGAGCTAAGAAATTTAAACTTCTGAAAATAAAATCACTTAGTATGCTAAAAACTGAAAAAGACTAAGAGAACTTGAAAACAGAGCAATGAAAATTACCCTAAGTGAAGAAGAGAGGAAAAAGAGAAAAGAAACAGAGCAAAATGCATGTGTAATTGGAACACCAGAATGAGAAGGGAGAAAGAGCAAAAAGGAATACTTACAAAAACTGAAAGTTTCCTGCATTGGATAAAAGATATAAGATGCAAAAAATAGGAGAAAAACAAAGGCACCCACATTAAGGCACATCTGTTGAAAACTACTATCATTGGTATTCTTGCCCCCAAATTCATATGTTGCAATGTAACTGCCAATGTGATTATAGTAGGAGGTGATTAACCCAAGAGGATATCCTCACGGATAAGATTAGTGCCCTTTTAAAAGAGCTCGAGTAGGTTGGTCCTCATCAATCTCTTCAAGTGACAATCCAGTGTTCATCACTTTTGCTCTTCTGCCTTCCACCCAGGACACACAACAGGGTTCCATCCTGGAAGCAGGGAACAGACTGTAACCAGAAACTAAGTCTGCCATCACTTTGATCTTAGAGCCCTCAGCTCCCAGAACTGTGAAAAACTAAGTTTATGTTGTTTATAAATTTCCCTGGGTGTTTTATTGTAGCAGCACGTACAGACTAAGAAAAATCAGACAGTGAGAAATACCTGAAAATAGCAAGAGGAAAATGACATATTATATACAAAGGATCAGCAATCCTAGCATCAGATGACTTTTCTTCAAAAATCAAGAAGCCTGAAGAGAGTGGTGCAGTAACATTTTAAAAGTCTTCAAAGGAAGAAAAAAAACAAAAACTCTGTCAACTCAGGACTCTATCCAGAGAAGATATCATTGTAAAATAAAGGCTAGGATTGGGGTGTAGCTTGGTGGCAGAGTGAGTGCTGGGCTCAACCTCCCAGCACCAAAAAAGAAAGAAAAGGTAAAGTAGAGACAGTTTCATTTAAAAGAAAATTTGGAGAAATACTCACTAGCAAACCTACACTATAAGAAATGCTAAAGAAATACCTTCAGTCTGAAATGATGCCAGAATCTCAGATTCACAGAGGACAGTGAAAAGCATTAGGGATGATAAGTATCTGAGTAAACACAAAAGAAGTTTCTTTTCTTTTTGCCTTTTATCTTTTAATAATTTTTATAAACCACATAACTTATTAACAAAATCATAACATAGTCTGTTATGTATGTTATGTTCATAATGTATGTAGATGATTGCACAAAGCTGTAAAGAGGGCTATGAAGTCACAGGACTGAGGGATTTCTCTATTTTATGTGAATTAGGGCATTACTCCTTGTAAACGCTCAGTGAACAGTTTAGGGTATGTATGGATATAGATACATTAATCCCAGAGCAAACACTGGTCTCCAGTAACTAATGCAATGTCTGCAGTGAATGTTAATAAACTATTTAGTTACAAGGTGGAGATGATCACAGTGGAGTAAGAGACAAAGTGGGATCCAACCATATAATGTCTACCAGAGAGGAACTGTAAACGTGACAAAATGGCTAGGGTGGAAGTAAAACCTCATACAATGCAAATACAGGTGGAAGAAGGCTGAGGCGACCACACTGATGAAGACAAATTCAAAGTGATGTGCTCTAACTTTTAACTGATGAATTTTGTGTTATGTGAATTATATCTCAATAAAAATGCAGCGCTGAGTAAGTTGATTACTTTATAATAATAAAAGGCTTTATGTCAAGGAAGATACAACCATCAGTGTCTGTATGGATTTGGGCACAGTGGTCACGCCTGTAATCTCAACATTCAGGAAGCTAAAGCAGGAGGATCTTGAGTTCAAGGCTAGTCTGGGCTACATAGTGAGTGTAAGACCAACTTGAACTACATAGCAAGACAGAATCTCAAAAAACTGAAAAAAAAATTGTTTGCACACAATACATGAATCAAAAAGCTGACAGAATGAATGGAAAAAAGATAATTCTGCAAATATCCCTGAAAGTTTTAACATCTCCACTCTGCAATCACTGGAAGTCCTGTACATTATCAACCTACCCAATGTGATATTTATAGAAGTGTGACACCAAGAAAGGCAGAATACACATCATTTTAAGTACCTGTGGTATGCTTGTTAGGATGGGCCACATTTCAGGTTATAAAAAACTCAACAATTTTGAAAGTTTGAAATTCTGCAGGTTATGTTCTCTGACCACGATGGGGTTAAATCAGAAACACATTACAACAGAAAACCATGAGATCTCAAATATTTGGAATTTAACACATTTCTAAGTAAATACTGGGCCAAAGAGCAGTCACAGGGAATACTAGAAAATCTGTTAATATATCACAAATGTGCCAATGAAAATACAAATACCAAATTGATGGGAAGCAAGTAAAGCACAGTGCACTACCTTTAATGCTATCTGGGAACAGAAGAAAAGTCTAAGCTTCTACCTTAAACAATTATAAAAAGGTATGTGTTATATAGTAAAGCAAACAGAAGAATAGAAAACATTAAAACCAAAAAGTGCTTCATTGAAATAAGTTCAATAGCACTGATAAAACTTCTAGCCAGATGAATCAAGAAAACAGAAGACATGAATTCCTGATATGAGGACGGAATGAAGGGCCTCATTACTCCTCTTTCAGATGTTAAAAGCACAAGAAGGGAATATTTTGTGGGAAATAATATTTCCACAAATATCAAAATATGTAAAATTATTTTGAAGGGAATAATTTTACACCAGTAAGTTTGATAATCTAGTGAAATATATTTCTTAAAAAGACAAATTTTTCAAAACTCATTGAAGAAAACTTGACCAGCCTATGTAAATTAAAGAGATTTAAGTCGTAATTGAAAACTTTCCAACATACACTTGTTATCCCAGCTACACGGGAGATGGAGGATTGCAAGTTCAAGGTTAGTTGGGCAAAAAAGGTAATAAGACCTTGTCTCAAAAGTGAAAAAGGGCTGGGGAGGAGCTCAAGTGGTAGAGTACTTGCCTAGCAGGTATGAGGTCCTGGGTTTAGTCCCCAGTACCAAAACAAAACAAAAACAAAGAAGTTGACACAAGAAAAAAAGCTTTCCCACAGAGAAAATTCCAGATCTAGGTGGCTTCCCTGGTAAATTCTGTAAGTTGACAAAATAAAAAATAATAACACCAATCTTACACAAATATTTTTCACAAAATAATTCATCATTATTTGAATTACAAAAATAAAGATGTCACCAGAAAAAAAAGAACTGCAGAGAAATATCACTCAGGAACACAAAAGCAAACATTCTTAACAAAATACTAGCAAATAACTAATATTATACAAAACGATACTATGTGTCATACCCAGGAGAGTTTGTCAGAGGGCAAGATTGGCTGAACATTAGAAAATCAGTCAATGTAATTTAGCATCTTAACAGAATATAGAAGAATCATATCATTATCTTTCAAAAGACAGAAAACCATTTGCTAGATGTCAACATTCCTTTATGATAAAATATCTCAGCAACTAGGAATAGAAGAAGTCCTCCTTGACTAATTAAGGTCATCTATGAAAAATCTACAGCTAACATCCTACGTAAGGTGAGAGATTTACTGTTTCTACCTAAAATTACAAAGATGTCCACTCTCACTATGTTGATTTAACTCAGTTCTGTAAGGCTAAGGTAAGAAGTGAGGCAGGGAAAAGGAAAAGGCAGTTGGGAATGAAGAGGCAAAACTGTGTACAGGAACTAAGGAAGACAGAGAACAAGCTACTAGGACTAATAGAAGTCAATTTAGCAAGATCGAAAGTTACAAATTCAAAATGAAAATTAATTGTATTTGTATATAATAGCAATCAACAATTAGAAAACAAAATTTCAGTAACAACTCAATTTATAATACCATTAAGAAAATTCAGGGCTGGTGGAGTAGCTAAAGTTGAAGTTCAAACCCCAGTACCAGGTAAAAAAAAACCCAGAACAGAATAAAAACAGATCCTCATTTATGAGGAGTTTAAAGTCTTATTAAAAAGTGAAAGAAGGCTAAGCATGGTGGCATACACCCATAATCCCAGCCACTCAGGTGGAAGAGGCAGAAGGATTGTGGTCAGAGGCTAGCCCTGGCAAAAGCATGAGAACCCATCTACAAACCAAAAACAAAAAGACTGGAGGTGGCTCAAGTCATAGAGCTCTTACCTAGCAAGCGCAAGGCCCTGAGCTCCTCACAAAACTGAAGAAATTCATCACTAGGAATCAGGTACTAAAAGGAAAAATAAAAGAAGTTCTTCAGGCAGAAGAAAAAGAATCCCACAGGAAAACATGGAATTTCAGGAAGAAAAAGCAACAAAATGGGCCAAAATGTAGATAAATAGGAATAAATATCAGCTCTACACATTAATATTAATTATTTGGGGTTAAAATACTTGCAATATTAAATACATGGCAATAGAAACACAAAATATGGATGAGTGTGAATAGAATTCATTTTCTAAGGCTGGCATTCTTGGAGAAGTCCAGAAAAAAAAGATAATTTGCATATAATAGTAACAAGGTAACGATGCATGCTGTAATTTTCAGGGTAGCCACTAAACGAAATGTCAAACAACGTATCACAAGCTAATAAGAAGAAAAATAGAATAATTGTCACAAAGAGAATGACTTATACACTTTCACTGACAAATCATGTCAGACCCTGAAAGTATAAATTTCTTGAGTTGCTCTCAGTCTTGGTACAACTAAATGCCTTCTACTATGTGATCTGCTTCTGTCTTGTCATTCTGATTTAGAGGCATGTTTACAAAAGAGCAAATTCACAAGCTTAGACAAAAAGTGAACATCAATTTCAGGAAATATTTTATTTGATCATTTTGAAATTGAGTTTTGTAGCCAGAGGGTGTAAGGATGAACAAGTATTTGGAATCACTGAAATCTAACAAACTCATCAGAGCTGACTTGCGGGTAGTGAGGCTGGAAGTAGAAAGCTTGAGACATTTAAAATTTGGAAACTAAATCACATATCTGTCCACCATCATACGTGCCTCCCAAAGCACAGCTCCTCCACGCTCTCCTCTCCAGCGCCAGAGTAACCCGTCCTCCACGCCAGGCTTTCCTTCTCTCCTTACTTGGTCCTTCACCAGCATAGGTCCATGAAGGACTTACCTGGAATGGCAAATTCAGGGTCACTTTGTAGGAACTTCTTGACTACTAGTCCATAGCTTCCTCATGTTCCCCCAAGAGTCCCACCCTGCGGCCCCGCCCAAAGCCACTTGAAGGAACAGGCTGCCTCTCATCATTCTGAGAAACTCCACAGTCTAGGCTGAGTCAGGGTTGAATGGATTCACCAGCAGCAATGGTTCTATGGTAAATGAAACGAGTCATCCATCTGAGTCATGAAAATCGAGGACCTACATGAAGGAGTGGCAAGGGAGGGGCCTCTTGGAAATGGTCAGTGTTTGCTTGGTTTGAAATTCAGGGCCACGCTGTTGATGCAAAACCTCTGACCGGTAGGCGGGGGTCCATCAGGAAACACGTGGCCAAGATGAGCTTCGCACTGCAGTGGAGAGAAGTCTCTGTTACTCAACAGACTCACAGCCCTTTCAGTAAAACCACACAGCCCACCCCACTGCAGGGTCTGAATCTGCATGGGGACAAAAGTCTTTCATATCAGAATTCAATTACGAAATGGAAGAACACACAGCACAGTTGTGGTGAATAGTCCTGCTTTACCAGTAAGAATGTGAGCAACTTACTAAAGGTAGACCTTGATTTCCTCGTCTATAAAAATGGGTCCAATGGACACAGCTGTTGTGATGATGCAGTGCACGTCAGGCATTAACACAGTTCCTAGGTGAGCACTCTAATGGTGTTGTGAACCACGGACTGCTGCTTTTCTTTGCCAAAGGCAAAACTGCTATTTTCATCTGGTTGCCTCTACTTCTTATAAACTCCAGGATCAGAAAATGTGAGCATCCAAGTATATCAAGTTTGCTGCCTGGACTTAAGCCACTCCCTCCTACCAGTTCACTGAAGGAACAAGGTGCTGATGTCACCTGCAGGATCCCACTGCCTGTCAGTGACATGCTGCAGGGAGGGAGGAGGTGGAGAGATGCCAACCATGAGGGCCTTCCTGCCACCTGACCCTGTTCATAAGAACATGAAGGATCTACTCCTTTGTTCCTTCAGACCCTGCCATGTTCCCATCTTGGTGGGAGGCCTTTCATTCTTACTGCAGCGCCCAGAGTGATGGGAGGGAGAGACCATCATAGACATGAAGAGAAGTTTGATGCATTTGATGACAAAGTGCCCCATGGAAGAACAGCAGATGTGCCAAAGATAGGAAAGCTTCTTGTGGCACTTTGAGCAGCAGCACAGCAGACAAAACAAAGCAAACCAGGTCACCTGCTTGCAGACCACTTCTGTGCGCATGGATCCCGAGGAGGTGTCGGGACGTCTAAGGATCCCTGTGTGGCTTTCATCTGAGCCCAAAGAACCATGAGCCTCAAAAAACGAAGGCCATCCAGTGCCAGAGCAGAACTTCGTCTCAGAGCTACAGAAGACAGTTAAACACACTGGGGTTAACATACAGGAGTATTACTGTCCCAACTCATTGTTCCAGGGAGCAAGACTTGGCTCCTGCCTCCCTGAGCCAGATTCCAACTCAGCCATGCTCCAAAGAATTGTTCTCACTACCCTCCAGTTTAAGATGCTGCAGAGCAACCCTAAAAGGATGCTTTGTTCCTTTGATGCTAATGGCTTCTTCCTCTATGTCCAATCTACAGGACCTAAAAACACTAGGGCTTTGTGAACTGTGCCCCTACTAAGAATGGCAGATCAAGTCCATTTGTTCCACATGCCAAAAGGGAGAAAGCAAGAAGAAGTAACAGTAGCCCAAGGACGTCAGCAAATCCTGGCACATCAGTGACACATCTGGTCTGGTGAAATAGCAATTTTCAGCAAGGGGAATTTGCAGTTATCTAAACACAGGTGCCTGATTGCCTTGGGTACTCACAGCTGTCCCTGTCACTTTATGGAATAAAGTAAGGCAAGCTACTCAACCTCCTGAAGACTTGGTTTTCTCACCTGTAAAATGGGAACTGGAACACCTACCCTTCAGGGAGATTTTGAAGATTTAAGGAGATGCTCTGTGAAGCTCCATGTAAAGTTAGCACAATGCTGGCCAATGCTAAGTGCTCATGAGCAAATGCTATGATTATTTTTATTAATAAATAATCCTGGGCACTCTGTGTCACTCACTGCAGTGAAGCCTGACTCTACAGGAGGTATCCCAGGCACTGATGGTGCTGCAGGCTGGAGCAGGCCAGAGGAGGAGGGGGCATGCAAACCTGTCTGGAAAGACCCCATCCTCAGGGCTGGGGGTGGAGCTTGGCGGTAGAGCACTTGCCTGGGTCCCACCCCCAGCACTGCAAAAAAAAAAAAAAAAAGATTTAAAATAAATACCCCATTCTCTAAGAGCTCGGACAAGTAGGCTCCCATAAATCACCCTAGGAAAACATATTTTTAAAATTTTTTAAATGCTAGGGAAATGGCTCTCTCTACATAAGAAAAAATAATTTAATGTTAAATCTAGCCCTAAACCGAACAAACAAGAGTGTTGAATAATCAAATCCCTAGACTCAATGCAGAAAGAAGCTCAGTGGAGAACAAAAACTCCAGCCAAAAGTGGACAGCATGACACTGAGTCACAAACATTTTGGTCTCAGGACTCCTCTATACACCCAAAGTTCTGAGAGCTTCTGTTTGCATGGGTTACTTGAGTCAATGTTTCACAAGTTATAAATTATAACTGAGAATGTTAAAAATATGTATGCATTACCTTTTTCTCTTTCATTTTTTTCTTTTTTCTTTTTTCAGTATTGGGTTTTGAACTCAGGCCCTCATATTTGCTAGGCAGGCCCTCTACCACTTTGAGCCATATCTCAAAGGCCCTTTTTCTTCTTTATTTTTCAGATAGGATGTCAAGTTTTTTGCTCAGGGCCAGCCTAGGACTGCAATCATCCTACCTATGCATCCTGAGTGGCTGAGATTACAGATCTGATCCACCACACCCAGACTGACCTTGAACTTGAGATCCTCCTGCCCCAGCCTCCTGAGTGTGGGAATTACTGTTGATGCCTGGCTTATGTTACTTTATAAAAATAATAAATTCATTACATGCTAACAGAACACTTTTATGACAATTACATTTTGCAAAATGAGAAGGGTTGCCTTTTTTTTTACAAGTTTACAAATCTCTTCACTGGTTTGAAAAAAAAGACAATCAAATCCTTACATGTGCCTCAGCATTCACTCTCCTGCCACATTATTTTGAGTCAACAACAGGAAGAGGACAGGATGGAGATGTAGTCGGTGGTAGGGTGCGCACTTAGCATTTGAAAGGTCCTGGGTTCAATCCCAAACACCAAAAAAAAAAAAAGGTAAGATAAAAGATACCACCTTGCTGGGAGGGATATACACTTGGGAAAGGGAGCACCTAGAAAGAACCTCCAGGGGATTTTTATTTAAAAACCAAAAACCTGGGCTTTGCATCCACACTGTTACATCTGTGTGCCCTTGTAAATTACTGAATCTTTTGGCACCACAGTAACATGGTCTACAGAATAACAGTGGTGTTATTACCTCACATGATAGCTGAGAAGGCTCACTGAAGTATTTCTGCATATATGGTGTGTTCAGAACAGTGCTTGACACGTGGCACATAAATAAGTCAGTGCCAGCCAAGTGCAGTAGCTCACACCTGTAATCCTAGCTACTTGGGAGGCTGAGATGGGAAGGCTCGAGATTGATGCCAACCCCAAGCAAATAGTTCTCAAGACCCTATCTCCAAAATAACCAGAGCAAAATGGACTGCACATGTAGCTCAAGCAGTAGAGTGCTTGCCCCTAAGCGTGAAGCCCTGAGTTCAAATCCCAGATCCATCCAAAAAAAGTCAGTAGCTACTCTTTTTTAACATTATTATCTTTACTCATAACAAATATTCATGAAATTTGGGCAACTCTGATCTAATTAGAACTGCCTACACATTCAGCTTGGGTTCTTTTCTACCTTTCCAAGGGTTCAAAAGTACTGTACCTCAGTGGCAGAACATGTACAAGGCCCTGAGTTTGATACCCAGCACTGCAAATCAAAAAAAAAAAAAAAAAAGAAGAAAAAATTTACCTGGTCACTTTGTCCCAGGGCAAAACATAAGCATCTTTCAACCACAACCTTTCCACCCTCAACATTCTATCATGAAAGAATTTTGACAGAGAATTATGAATATAATAAAGCTTTTTTTTTAAATGAATGAATCTAAAGCTAATAAAAAGTCATTGAAATGTTTTACTGGAAACAATAAACCTTTATTGCTGCAATTAGCAGAATCTGCAGGTTTTACTGAGTAATATGAGAAACCCAACATAGATCACTTAAGACTAAGCACCTAAATATACAGAAATTCCAAGATACATATTTAAGTGATTAGCACATTATAAAGCTCAATCCTGAAAAACACGAACCATTCCGGATCATATATTCTACAGTGTTTTTATTTATTTTTTTTTTTGGTTTCACTTTCTGTTTATTTGGTTTGTTTTTTCACATCAGTTCTAAATATTCACAGCCTCCAAGGGAACAGTACAGGAACCTAGTGAAAAATGACAATCCTAACCCTAACCTTAAAGAATTTCTATTCACTTGAAGGCCTGGGGGCCAAGAAGTTTTTAAACAATATTACTTAGGATGTGTAGGGCACCAGGAAACTGAGTAAAATATGGACTAGTTTTGGGTTCTAAGATTCCTCCTGTTTTAAGAAGACTTTTATGACCATGACATATATGTGATCTTATAATACAGTATTTTGTTTTGTTTTAACAGGGTCAAGCTATGTAGCCCAGGCTGGCCTTAAACCCGCAATCTTCCTGCTTCAGCCTCCCCTGTGCTAGAATTACAGACATGAACCACTATGCCCAGCCATAGTACATTTTAATAAAACCTTCCAGAAGCAGCTTTATGGGGGAGAAGGGAGATAATGGGGGCAGGGGAAGAAGACAATGTTACTTGATTTCAGTGTTACCAAGTTCACCAAGATCTGCAATCCGTAGAAAATGCTCTTGACCAGACACCCTTGACTCCAGGTCTCTGATTAGTATGGGCAGTTGCTCTCCAAGAATGGACACCATTTGTTCCAATACCACTGGACCCTAACAAGGACTATGGCAAGTCTGCCAGCTGTGTCAGGAGATAGGACTCTGGAAAGGGAGACTGTGGATCAGCTGGCTGGGACTATCCCCTCAAGGCTGTTTATGTCAGCTCAGGGACCGATGGCTGTAATTCAGGAAGCTGGCACCAGAAGGTGATGTCACTTCATCACACAGCACTAGCCAAGTGGTTTTGGGAGACCCAGATAATAAAGGTGTGGGCTTTGGAGTCTAAGAGCTGTGGGCTCACGTTTTGGCTGGCAGCTGCAGCACTCTTGATGAGTTATTTTAGCTTCTTGAGTCTCAGTTTCCACATGTGAAATGAGAACACACTGAGAGCAGCTGAGAGGTCTGATGGAGCCATGGACTTCAAGAACCTGGAGCCCACATGGGGTTCTCCCTCCCTGAGGATGGGCACACCACATGGCCCACGCTGCTTGGTGTGGATATGGTTTCAATTCAGGGTGAAATTTGATCACCATTGTGGTGGTGGTGGGAGGAGGAGCCTTTAAGAGGTGATTCAGGCTGGTGGCTCACACCTGAAAGCCTAGCTATTCAGGGGCAAAGATCAGTAGGATCTAAGTTTGCGGCCAGTTTGAGCAAACAGTTTGCAAGACCCTATCTCAAAAATACCAACACAAAAAAGGGCTGGTAGTGTGGCTCAAGAGGTAGAGCACCTGCCTAATAGGCATGAGGCCCTGAGTTCAAACCCCAGGGCTACCAAAAAAAAAGGTGATTCAGTCTTTACCAGGGAATAATGTCGTTGACACTGGACGGGATTAGTCACTCCACTAAGACAAGGCAACCCCTCCTGTTTGTATTTTTCTAATGTGCTTGCTTGCCCTCTGGCTTTTCTACTAGGTTTTGACACAGCAGCACAAAGCCAATGTTGCTCTTGCACTTCCCAGCCTCCTGAGCCATGAGCTGAAATGGGCTTCCATTCTAGAAATTACCCAGTGCCAGGTATTCTGTTATAACAACATAAAACAGACTAAGGCAGGGCCCTTGAGCATGTTCCTTAAAGATCTTGGTGGAGTCACCAAAATGTCAGTTTTCACATCTGTTAATTGGGGCATTGCAGGAGCGTGCAAAGTACGGAGCGCAGTGCTTACGCTAAGTGCTCATGAAGCCTGGCTTTCCTCTCACCTCACTCATACGTGATGGTGCCTTCTCTCATACCCGATGTCTGCAGACAGTCAATATCACTAGAGCCACTAAGCAGTAGGGAAGGGGTTATTCATTTATCAGTGCAGAAGCATTTATTGAGCACCTCCATGTTAGTTTTCCAGGTTGGTTGTTGCAAATTACCACACTCTCATAGTTCTGGAAAGTAGAAGTCTAAAACTGGGGTGTCAGTAGGCATGGTCCTTCTGAAGACCTCAGGGAATCCCTCTGCAACTTTTCCTAGATTCTGGAAGTAGCTGGTAAGTGTTGCCGTAAGACATTCATCGTGTCTATGTTTCCTCATCTCTTCTCACGGGGATAGCAGTCTCACTGGATCAAGGCCAACCCGACTCAAATATGACCTTATCTTTACTAATTATATCTGCAATTGACCCTATTTTCTACCTAAGGTCATACTCACAGGTTCTGGGGATTAGGACTTTCACACATCTGGTGGAGAAAATTCAACTCATGAGGTGTGTCTGTACAAGAAGTAAAGAAGCCAAGGAAGTCAAGGAGCCTGTTTTATCTCCTCAATTATATAAAATATTTGAGCCAACATGAAAATAAGCACTAACTTGTGTGTTACTGACAAAGTAATAGGAATTTGGAGTAGAAAACAAATCCAAAAACAGTGTGTTAGCACTGAGAGGGCTTCATAGAGAAATCCAGGACCCTAGAGTGAATGGAACTTGAATTAGTGCACAGTAGGGGTGAGCAAACTCCAGGGGTCCACACAGCATGACGGAGTCTACAGGTGCGAAGCAGCCTGGCAGGTGCAGGAAGCCAGGAGCCCATGGTCCCTGCCTTTGCTTGTTAATTTAACTAGCATTTAGTTCTGGCTGACCGACTTTTAGCTTCACTTTGACTCTATGTGAACATTTTTAAGAACTATTTTTTCTGTTCCTATTTCCTACAATTTGAGGCTTGAGAATGGAAACAGAGAGAGAGGGAAAATGAGAGACAGAACAAGAATACATTCCTAAGACCATCCTCTTGAATGGACGAATGAATACTCAAGAATCCATTCTTCATTTAAATGCTCTCATTAATTAGACTACATTTTCCAGAATTCCTCATTAACAAACATACACTCATGTATATAGCCCTCAGAAGGATACATCTCTAAGAATAAATCATTGTTAACATGCATGGGGGCTTAGTACATGTCAGACATTACTCTAGCATGTCCTGAGAACTCAGATAATCCTCCAATAACCCTATGAATTAGGTACTGCTTTATCCTCATTTTAAAGGTGAGGAAATTGAGGCACAGAGAGGTTAAGAAACTTTCCCAAGGGTACATGGCAATGGGGCTAAGATATATATTCCTAGACAGCCCTCACCATTCTCCTATAAATGAATTTATCTTTAATAAGAGTTTATTCTAGAACATAAATGACTCAAAGCCTGGTGCTACTGGGAGGTGGTGGAAGCTTTAGAAGGCAGGGCTTAGTGGGAGGCTTTTAGACCATTGGGGGTGTGCCGGTGGCAGGATCCCAGGCCCCGCCTACTTCCGTTTCACTTCCTGGCTGTGAGGTGGGTGGTTTTGCCCCACCACACACTCTCACCATGAAGTACCACCATGGACTAAAACTCCATACTGCGATCCAAAGTAAACCTCTTCTCTGTAAGCTGAGTATCTCAGGTATTTGTGAAGCTAATACATAAATATATTTTTAGTTTCTTCATTCTTAGCTGCAGAAACAAGAAAATGGAACAGAAACAGACTCAAAAGCTCTCTTTAAAAAATAAATAGAAACTTTGCACCTAAAACTAAATGATTAAAAAGAAATAATTAAGATTAACTGCTTGGAAAACAGGCTTTTGAAGAATTAGCTGGTTTTTCTATTAGCTTTGGCTCTTTTGCTACCTTAGTGACTCAGGGTTGGTCACTTAACTTCCTTAATTTGAATGTGCATTGTGCTCATAGAGTAGCTACTGGCCATGTGTAACCCTTTAAGTTTAAATTACTTCATTAAAATGAGAGAAGCGGAGGTAGTGAATTCAAGTATGATATATCTGATACATGGTAAGGAACATGTAAATACTCCAGTGTACCACCACCCAGCACAACAATAATAGAAAATAAGAAAATAAATTTTAAAAAATGAAATAAAATTTGAAAATTCAACTTCTCCATCACACTAGCCACATTTTGGATGCTCACCAGCACCCAGCACAGAAGTAGAACACTTCTATCATTGGAGCAAGTCCTATTGGTCAAAGCATCTGCTCTGGTCTCTCAGGTCTCCTTCTGCTCCCACATTCTGTGAGCCTGTGACTAAGCCGGGGTGGGGAGGGGAGAGTGAGAAGGCCTCTTCTTCACAGATGTGGGAATTGGAACAGAGATGAGGAAGAAGGAAGACTGAAATGGAGGTGGGTGTTCTTGCAAGGATGACTTCTTGTCTTTTGTCATCACAGTTCAAAAGTAGAAAGACGACATCTGTTTGATGACCAGATAGTAAAAAGGAAATCTACACTTTGACAACATGGTCTTTCTGCTGAAAGTAAGTTAGCCAACTTAAGGTCCTACTTCTCTTCCACAGAACCAAAGATCAAGGAATGACTAATGCCTCTGAAACATGAGTCTTGCATTTTATTGCTGTGATATTGTGAAGTGCATATTTGATCTTCCTCCCATTTCCTGGCATACAACTTCTAAAATTCTTGGGATCTTCAGAGTGTCTTTGTGTATGTTAATGACCTGGCTGATGACTGGTAGCCCCTAGGTAGCTTCAGGATGGGGACTGGTCACTAAAGAATGACTAGAGAGCTGGGCTGAAGGTTAAGTTAATTACCAATGGTCAATGATTTAATCAGCATGTGTATGGAATGAAGTCTCCATAAAACCCAAAGGACAGGGTTCAGAGAGCTTCCCAACAATTGAACACATGGTAGTTCCTGGAGAGGGAATGGAAGCCTCGTGTCCCTTCCTCCTACCTCATTCTATTCACCTCTTCACTAGAATATTCTTTATAATAAACGGTAAACAGTGTTTCCCTGAGTTCTGCGAGCTGCTCAAGCAAATTAATTGCACTCAAAAAGGGAGTGTGGAACCCTGATTTGTACCTGGTTGGGCAGAAGCACAGGTTATAACCTGGGGCTTGTGACTGGTATCTGAAGTAGGGGACAGGGCTTGGGGCCTGAGCTCTCAACCTGTGGGATCTGATGCTCTCTCCAGGTAGGCAGAGTCAGCACCGAATTGGACTGGAGAATGCTCAGCTGGTATCCCCCGCAGAACTGACTGCTTGCTGATAGGGAGAAGTTTTCTGTGTTGATTGTTGCTTTGTGAGAGCAGGAAGGAAACGGTTCATTTTTCCACCACCACCATGTAAACACTAACTTTCTAATAGTTTCTCTATGTCCTCGTGGGCTGACTGCTCTCCCAAATATCTCACCAGCCACCAACAACATGAATAAGCCTGACCTTACGTGAACATGAAGGAAAATCAATCCGAATTACTCCTAGTCCTTGCAGGCGGGGTCTGGCTTCCCTAATCCTGCCGGCTAGCAGCCTAATCAAGCAGGCCAGGAAAGCCTGTGTGCTCAAAGCCCAAAGGACAGAAGGAAGCTCTGCCTAATGGAAGATTCACAGAGCTGGCTTGATTTATATTTTATTCTGAACCAATTTAGTGTTGATGCAAAAGAAAGGAAAACATCTTTGAAGTTCTGAAAAACAGGACTTCAAAGATGTTTTCCTTTCTTCTTCATCGAATCTATTTTTTTTAAAGACTGTTTCCTGTATATCTAAACAAAAAAGCCTTTGTTGAGAGATTTTAGATCCTGATTGACTTAAAAGAGGCTTTGAAACCAATGGACAATTAAATTTACTTTTAACTACATAGAAGAGGGCATGGCATTCACTACTGTCAAGTTCTGTGGGGAAATCTATCCTCATAAAATTCTACATTTCCTAAATTAAATTATAAACCCATTTTCCCTGAGAGAGGTATAGTTTTAATCACATGGCCAAGCAAATACTATTAGGGTTTAGCTTTCTTTAAATATTTTCTCTCTAAAAAATTCTAACAGCTTTATAGTAAGATATCCACCAAGGTTTTCTTGTTTGCTATTTTTCAGGGATTCAGAAAGGAAGGATATAAGCTCAGAATATTGTTAACTGCCCTAAATGCTAGCAAAAAAAAACCATCAAGATGGACAGATATCTCTTATGAATAGCTTCCCTTGCAGCAGTAATGCCAAAAAAGGACAATTAAATGCTGGGGGTATGGCTCAGTGGCAAAGCTGGTGCTCGGCATGAATGTGGCCCTGAATTCAATCCTCAGCACCAAAAATAAGTAAATAAATAAAACATTTAAAGGGTATGTATTTATCCAAGATCTCAAATGAGCTAAAGCTCTTTGAATAGGGGTTTTGTTCTTCAGCTCTGGATTCTTCATCTTACCTGAAGAGAGGAGTATCACAGCACACACAGTGGTACATTCCTGACTCCTTGTTGTTCAGGTAGCTCCCACTGAAAGGCTGAAAGTAAATGAGATATCATGTGCACTTTTCCAATATCACCAGCAGGAGGCGATACAGCAAATTTAAATCCGAGATAGGGACTGAGGGTGTAGGCTGGTGGTAGAGCGCTTGCCTAGCATGTGTGAGGCCCTAGGTTAATCCTGGATACCACTAAAAAACAAAAGTAAAAGCAAACAAACAAGCAAAACCCACACCAAGATAAGTCTCCAAATCAAAGAAGCATACTAATTTGACAAAACACAGATTCCACCAGAGAGAAAATTAGAATTGCCCAAGAAGTAACCTGCAGGGCTTAATGACAAACTGGCCTCATTGTGCCAAATATTCAAACTGAGACATTAATAATGCTTTGTATGTACATAGCACCTTTCATCTGAGAACATCAAAGTCCATGAGAAAGCAAGAGAAACGACTCTCACCCTCTGTGACTGTGTAAGATTTCACTTTCCCTTTTCAAGAGAGTTAAAGGAATCTAAACAGTTGCCTAAAACACTTTCTCCAATTATAGACAGAATATAAAAGGTGGGGGTGCAGCACAGTGGTACAGTACTTGCCTAGCACGCACAAGGCCCTGAATTGGATCCCCTAACACAGGAGACAGGGGACAATTAAGGGCCTTCAAGGGAGACGGAGAAGGACAGGAAGAGCACCACAGCACCTGGTGGTAAACACTGTCCAATGCACAGGCTGGAGAAGGTGAATGAAGCATACAACTGTTGGCCGAGTGACAGAAGTGACTGCGGAAATAAGTCAGACTCTTCCAATACTCTCCAGATTTCACAACTTAAAAAACTCACAGGCCAAACCTTCAAACTCCCTGTGGCAGTACCAACCATATGTTTTCAAAGAGCTGTGTGATAGGCACTTTCAAATCAACCTTCAGAGCCTACCAGATGGGCACACCTGGACATTTTTCCTCTTTTGAAACCCCACATTAGCTGCAGAAATCCAAATGCAGCGAGCTGGACCATCACAGACCTGGAGACTGCTGGTCCAGCACCCGCACTGTGGGTTGAAGCTGTTTCACATCCCTCACCCTGGCCCATGGTACATGGTGCCAAAGGGCTGCCATCATTGCAGGAGACAGTTGGACAGAAGAAATGACAGGGAACTACTATCACAGCTAAGTAAAAGTAAAAAAAAAATTTAAAATGCAAATGAAAAGGAATTCTTAGCCAGCATGCTTTATGAAATTACAGCCTCCCTCCACTACCTCCTTGCCTTACTTTCTGATGTCTCCTTCCCCACTCTTCAAGTCCTGTCATTTCTTTAGGATCAAACCATCCTTCTAGCTCATTTATTCATTTTGTTGATAATCTAGTTTGTACTTAGTGCTGGGCTGAGTGCTCATGCTTCAAAGATAGGGGTGGGGGATTAAAACCCACAGTCTACCCAAACAGGTTAGAGAACAAAGAAAGAAGACACTGGGAAAGAAGGAGAGGCCAAATCATGCTGGGCTGTGGGTAGACCAAGCTAAGAAGCTGAAACCTTGTTCAACTGATCACAGAGTGCCATTAGAAATATATACACTGGCTGTGTGCGTGATCATAGCTGGCTTTTAGAAAGATCACTTGACATCCAGATCAAAAATGGATTGGAAACCAGACACAGTCGCTCATAATCCTAGCTACCTGGGAGGCAGAGATTGGGAGGTCCCATCTCAACCAATAAGTTAGGTGTGGTGGCATGCACCTGTCATCCCAGCTACGTAGGAAGCATAAACAGAAGAACTGTGGTCCAGGCCAGTCTGTGTAAAAATGGGAGACCCTATTCTAAAAACAAGTAAAGCAAAAATGGCTGTATTCATCCCCCATTACTGCAAAAAAAAGAAAAGAAAAGAAAAAAAGAATGGATGGAGGGCAAGGGATGTAGCCCAGTGGTACATTGCTTGTGTAGCATGTGCAAGGCCCTGGGTTCCAACCACAGCTATAGGGAAAAAAACACAGCAAAAAACAAGTGGACTGGAGCAGGGACAAAAAGACACTAGAGGCAAAGGACAGTAAGAAGGCCTGTTACTAATGCTAGCCTGGATGCTGCTCCTACTCTGGCTGGAAATTGTAAAAAGAAAAGAGATTTGAGAATGATTTAGAAGAGGGACTTGAAGTGAGGGCTGTGTAGGGGAGGGGCCAGGAGCAGAGACATGACACAGTCAAGTCTGCTTGGACCAATGCCAGAGTTCCCACCTGTTGGAGACAGTGGTTGCCTTCACAAGAAATGACTGCACGTAATTTCATTCGGGGCTATTTTCAGAGGTGGGGACAGGGTAAATGGAGAACAACAAAGGGGGAAAACACCCTGGTCTGCCTGTAGGAGCTGTCACCTGTAATATAGGAATACAGTGACAGCCACCTGTCACCTGGCAGGGGCACCCAGGGTCCCCACTGATTTCTCCATCCTGCTGCCTGAAGTAAAACAGGAGCCAGGAGGCAAGGAAGCTGGTCCCTCCTCCGAGAGCTTGGAGCAGGAAGTTGGTGGAGACCAGGTGAGGAGGTCAGGCAGAGAAGGACCTGCACCTTCCCTTCTGTTGACACTGACTTTCAATTATTCCACAGCCCGGCTGCAAATTCTTTCACCGGATGCCAGCAGAGTGCTAACATGCTACTGCTTCCCAATAAAAAAACACGTGTAACTGAGTTTCAATCTGGAGTCATCAAAGAGAAGGCTTTGGTGTCATTTCTCTTCCCCGAGCCTAATGAAGCTTATGAAGACTTACAGTTCTGCAGTATTCCAAAAAGTTAAATATGGGAACAGAGCAACCGAAAGGGATTTATAACATTAGTTAAAATAATGGATGATACTCATTTTGTAAAAGGGCCAAATGCACAGAGTATATTGGACCATCTGTTTTGAAAGCTACAGATTTATTCTCAATCTGGCAGTGAATCTTCAGACTCACCAAACTCTATATGGCTCTGTACCTGAGAATTAGGGCTGGTGTAGACCATTCTGGGCACACACACAGCTGCTCACAGAGCATCATGTGTGTCTCCCTTGTGCTATCAACAAAAATGGCAAATGTAGTCTCTTTCCCAAGGAAGCGTTTATTAAAATTCCACCCATGATCAATTGTAAAAAACAAACAAACAAACAAACAAAAACCACTAGCATTTCACTAAAATCTGTTGGGATCCGCCAGCCTATCTGATGACTTTAGCATCAGGGAAACAGGACGATCTTTTGATAAGGCCATGTGCACAGGGTCAGATGCCTGAGCTTTGCAGGTACTGACAAAGTAAAAATGTAAACATCCTACAACACCGCAAAGCCACTGTGCTGTGGTCAGGTCTGTAGGAACAGCCTCATAGATGAAAATATATCAAATGCACATCTGTAATCCTATTTACCCAGGAGGCAGAGTTTGCGAGGATCAAGGTTTGAAGCCAGTCCCGCAAATAGTTCACAAGACCACAGTAGGTGCTAGGGGACAGATGCTATGATGGGCAAGTGCTGATAGAAGCAAACCTAGCTTGGGGCTGAGAAAAGGGATTCCTGAGAAGGGGAGATATAGGCTGAGAATTAATAGGTGGGCCTGAATCTGTCTCGGGGAGCCAGGGAAAGGAACATGGGGCACCAAGTCCTTATAGGAAAGGGAGCCCAGAGTGTTTGAGACCTGAGAGAAGGATGGTGTGGACACTTTGCAGGCTCCAGAGGAAGTAAGGATGGCTTTGAGGATGGGCTAGGATGTAGGGGTCATTGACTTTAGGACCTAACTAGCTACTCAGTGGGAAGTCACTAAGGAGTTCTGAGCTGGGAAGTGCTTTCAAAAGATGTCTTTGCCTGCAGGGCGGAGACAGCTCTGCACAGAAGAGCTGGCAGCTGTGCAGTCAGGGTGAGAGATGGACAGCGTGGCCCATGTGGGGAGGCGGGGGGGGCAAGGGAAGTGGGAGAGGTTGGAAGACTATTTTGGATGCAGAATAGATCCACCAGGCAATGGAGGGCAGAGGGCAATGACAGGGAGAGGACTTGAGTTTCTACAACTGGATGCCTCCTGACACCCTGAGAAGGGGCGATTGGAGGAGGACCCGATTTGTGCACTGGAGGAGGATGAGTCAGATTCTGTAGATGGATCTAGTCCACATCACACCCACCCCTGCACATCTAATCAGACACTGTTAATCAGTCCACTTACCAGCTCAGTTCCTTTTTCTCTGGTGACATAGAACTGCTCAGGGGTCAGTTTCTTCTGCCACTCAGCCTTGGTAAGAGACCCTGTGTTGTTAAATAGAGAATTTGTTTTATGAAAATAAAATGAACTTTTTCCTTGGCCCTTCTTCCAAAGTGTACTGTCACCCAGTGGAATAATCCTGTCCCTTCCTCTTTCTTGCCACTTCTTCTTTTTTTTTTTCCAATAGCACTGGGGCTTGAACTCAGAGCCTTGTAATTGCTAAGCAGGCAATTACCGCTGAGCCACCCCCAGCCTTTTTTACTTTACTCTTTATCCTGTAGCGTCTCCTATATTTTGCCTCAGTGGGCCTGGACTGTGATCCTTCTACCCTACACCTCTCCCATAGCTGGGATAGTTTATTTGTTGAGATGGGGGTCTCACTAACTTTTTGCCTGGTCTAGCCTCAAACCATAATCCTCCCACTCTCCACCTCCAGTATAGCTGGGACTGCAGGTGCGAGCCACCTTACTCTGCTCTGCTTCTTCATTCTTTACCAGGACAGGGAACAGGAAGGCTCAGGTACAGAAGGCCTTGACTAATTTATAATTTAGCAAGAAATCAGTAATAAGTACAGAGTGGATTTTCTACTCCTCCTGGGGCACTGAAGCTAAGTAGCAGCTGAAATAGGAAATGATGCACAGTAAATTCTCCTCACAGTGGAAACTGGCCGGCCCTTCCATTCCTGTCCCGGCCCAGTCAACACACAGGCTGGGAAGAAAAGAAACCGGAGCTGATGAGGCATTAACTCCTCTCTTGATGGTTTATAAAAATATCTCTGATTTTGTTTGTCAAGGAAAGTCTTTATTCTAAAAAAAAAAAATCTTGCATGTCAAGAGTGTTCCTGCATGTTCCTCTGGAGGTGAGACAGACCATAATCTGTTATCACAGCTTACAGTTTGTTTTTTCTCCCAATTGTTTTTTGGTTTTTGGGGATGTTTTTAGTGGTACTGGGGTTTGAACTCAGTGCTTGTGCCTGTACCACTTGAGCCATGGCCCTAGGCCTTTTTGCCTTAGTTTGTTTTTGATTTAGGTTGTTTTGCCCAGGCCAGCCTCTGACTTCAGTCCTCCTACCTGCACCTCCTGAGTAGCTGGGAGTACAGACGTCAGCCCTTCTTATTTTTATATGGGTGAGTGTAACCAGAGCAACTTGAGCAATCCTTTCTTTAGCTAAAGTAGGAAGGTAGCCCAGCTCTCAATAAATGTTTTAATCATTCAACATTAAGAATTTGAAAGGATTTTATCATCTGTTCAACTCTTTAATTGACAATGAAAAAAGAAGCGGCCCAAAGGGTTAGCAACCCACCCACAAATTAAAAATGAGATCGTAAACACCCGTGATCTCCACACTCACATATCAAACGTGATAAAATTATGTCTGAAATTCATTTTTGGATACACACACAAAATAGTCCTAAATCATCCTTTAGCTAGAAAAGACTTACCTTTCTCACCAGTTTATAAAACTGCATAAAAACGTATTTTTCAGTATTGCTGATTATTTATGATTATCTACATTTGTTTACATTTTATTAAAAGTTTGTTTGTTTAAGACACTCTCCCTATGTATCCCTGCCTGGCCCTGAACTCACTATCCTCTAGCCTTGGCCTCCTAAATGCTGGGATTACAGGTATGCCACCGCAACTGGTAGTTAAAACATTTTAAAAGTGTTAGATATATTAAAAGTTGTCTTTTCTTGGGGCCAAGCATGGTGGCACATCCCAGCTACTCAGGAGGCAGAGACAGGAGGCTCAAAAGTTTGAAGCCAGCCTGTGCAAAAGTTAGGGAGACCCTATCTCAAAAACAAGCTGGGTAGTACACATTCGTGGTCCCAGTTACTCAGGAGGTAGAGGGAGGAGGATCTTGGTTGGATGCTGGCCTGGGCAAAAGCAAGAGACCCTATCTGAAAAACACAGACTAAAAGCAAAAGTGCTAGAGGCTAGGCTCAAGTGGCAGAGTGCTTGCTTAGCAAGCATGAGGCCCTGAGTTCAATTCCCAGTACTGCAAAAAAATAAATAAAGTAAAAAAATTAAAAAGATTATGTTGTCATTTCATAAGACTATAGGGATTTTTTTCTTAATATAGAAACATACTTTTGAAATCTTCCTATGAAAATATACCTCAATTACATGAGTTTTTGGAATTTGCTCTTTGGAAGCAAAGCAAAATGTTTGCTCTTTGGAAGCAAAGCAAAATGTATTTGTGCGTCACTGTGACCACTGCACTGTGACCTTCAGTAGTCATGCAGAAAGCAAAGTAACAAACAAAGGGACAGGTTTTTAAATCACCACTTTTGCAAATGCCAAAAAAAAAAAAAATGGACTAAAGTAACAATCATCAACAGATTCTAAAACCCTTGAGTCGAAAACTTTTGGGAAATGACCCCAAAGGTTATAAATTAGAAAGAAGAAAATGTACCTTTACAGTGGAGGGACCTGGCGGTCACCCCCTTGACCAAGTGAGCAAAGTTAGCATCACCCACAGAGACCCAAGAGGCATTGTGGGCTTCCCGCTGTGGCCCACTGGGAAGGGCACAGTTGCCCCAGTAGCATTTTCCTGCCCCAAATGTTTAATCTGAGAATAATCATGAAGAAATAACCACAAATGAAAACTGAGGGGAATTCTGCAAAAAACAACTACCCTGCACAAGTAAGTACAAGGTATGACCCTTTGTTGAATTCTGTATCAAAGGAAAAATAAAATTTACAAACATTAACTGGAGAATTGTGGAAATTTGAGCATGGCCTTTATATTAGACAAAGACATTGAACCAATATTCGATTTCGTGAGTATGAAAATTGTCTTGTAGTTTGGTGGGAAAAACATCTTTGGTCACAGAAGACATTTCCTGAAATATTTAAGGGTAAAGTGTCGCAACAACTACAACTACCTCTGAAATGGCTCAGTAAGATAAATAAATGTGAGTGTTTGTTTCAATGACATCAAGAGAGCTAAGGGAAGCATACATGAGCCTACGAGGTAACTTAACCTTTGTGGAAGCTTTCTCAATAATCCATAATTCCAGTTTAGTCCTGACGGGAAACATCAAAAGACCCCAGACTGAGGGACATTCTATAATGTGACCAGTACTCCTCAAATTTGTCAAGGTCATGAAAAACAAGGGAAGATAAATTGTTTCAAACCAGAGAAGTAAATAAATGAAACTGTAACTTCCTGGGAATGGAACCCTGGTTTCCAAACCCTGATTGACGAGAAGCCAATTGCTTGGTGGTCTGTACACAGTCACGTGAAAGGGACTTTTAGACAGATCTTCATAACCCGTTTCCTCCCTGGCCCAACATCACCTCTTGGACACCCAAAGCAGTCTGCAGGGTGTAGCAGCTGTTGCTTTCCTGCCATTTTGGAGTAGAGAGGGTGGGCATGATGAGGCCAATGATTCAGGAGTTGGTTCTTTCTTGTGGTGTAGTTTTTTTTTTTTTGGGTTTTTTTTTTTTTTTTTTTGCCCTTGCGTCAGAGGATGAAAGAGTTTTCCCAGAGCTCCAGCTGCAAGCCAGGAAGAGTTGGTGAACATTGGAAACACATGGTGGCGACATTAGGCATCTATATTGGGCTTCTGTTGTATTCTTGCCACTCGATCTACTTTGTAGCAGTTTAATGGGTACATTTTAGAGTCTTTCATTTTGTGTGGAATTAGATCCTTCCCTTCAAATGCTGTAATTAATACCACTTAAAGCTTAAAGCCATGCCATGGTGGCTCATGCCTGTAATCCTAGTTACTTCAGAGGTGGAGGCAGGAGGATCCCAAGTCCCAGGCCAGAGCAAAGATAGTGAGACCCTATCTCAAAAGCAAAATACAAACAAAAGGGCTGGAGGCATGGATGAAATGGTAGAGGGCTTCCCCAGCAATGGTGAGGCGCTGGGTTCAACCCCTAGGTACCTGGAAAAACAAAACAAAACAGAAAAAAAACTTGGATAAAACATTGAAATCTTAAATAAAAAACTTAAAGAATAACATGATGACTAAATGCAATGTGGAACCCAGGACTGGATCCAGGAACATAAAAAGGAAATTAATGGGAAAATTGACAAAACCCAAATAAACTTTGGAGTCTAGATAACAATAACATAGCAATGTCAGGTTTTTTTAGTTTTGACAAATGTACCATGATAACATAAGTTAAGGAGGGAAAGTGGATGGGGGTGGGGGAGACTCTCTGTATTATCTTTACAATTTGTCTGTAAATCCAGAATTATCCCCAAGTAAAAAAGTTTTTAAGATGATCTCCATGCCTACACCTGTACCATGACACATTAGAGGGGAAACTCCCCACCTGGAAAGACCATCACTAGAAAATCAGTTCCCACACTCACCGAGGTCTGCATGAGCCACCATGGGTCTTATGTTTCCTTAGCCAGCTCTCTTTCCTTCTCCTTTTCTAGTCTCCTTAAAACATGGTCTCCACCCTTCCACCTTTCTCTCAACAGAAGGTTCCATTTTACATAACAGCATCAAAAGCCATCACCAGAAAATCCTTCATTCTTGCTACCTTACTACATTTGCGTACACCCAAGCCCAGCCTTCCATCTTCCATTTTGATGCAAACATCCCCTCCTTCTGTCCATGTGCTGCTGTTCCTTTTCTGAATCACCTCTCCTATGTCCAGCTAATGACCAAGATCAATTGATGGCCCCCTTTCATCACAATTACCATCTCACACTACAGGCTCCTTGCCTTCTACATCGAGACATGCTGAGTCTCTTGGTGGGGGAGGGGAAGGATAACACAAGTCTCTTTCCTCACAGAGCCCCTTCCCAACAGCTTTTCTTTTTTCTGTGTCCTTTACAACCAAAGCTCCCAAAAGAGCTGTCTGTACTTCCTCACGTCTCTCAGTCATTCCTCAAAACATCAGCTTCTGCCCCCACCACTGCACTGAATCTGATCTCACAGGGCTCACTAAGGAATAACTTAGTAAAACTTACAAACACTTCATCCTTACCTCACTGACCTCCTGAGGTATTCAACACTGTGGACATTCTCTTTTTTGTGATATTGTGTTATTTCCAATTGCCTTGGACTCCATGACACGAAATTCTCTTGCCTCTCCAGTTACTCCCTTGCAGTGCCTGTGATGGTTAAATTTGATCGGATTGAGGCTTCTGGGTATGTCTGTGCGATGGTGTTTCCAGACAGGAATAATTAAGGGAGGAAACCCTAGGCTGGGGGCCCAGATGGAATAAAAGGGGGAAAAGAGAAAGCCAGTGAGCACAAGCATTCTCTTCTCTCCTCCCTGGCCATCTTGATGTGAGCTGCTCTGACCACCACACCCTCCCCATCATGACCGACTAAGACTTCTAAAACTGTGAGCCAAAATAATTCCTCCTCCCTTAAATGGATTATGTCAGATTAACTAAGATATTTGTGTCACAGTCTGTGACAGCAAAGAAGAAACTAACAGTGTCCTTTCTCAACTCTCCTTCCTCTCACAGTCCCTTGAGTACTGAGATTCTTCAAAGGGGTCTTTCTGTCTTACACGTTCTTCTGTATCCCTCAAAATTAAACCACCTCCTGGGTGGTTTTATCTTTTATCCTCTTAGTAGTTCAAAGCACCCATCCTTGCTGTGGACTTCCAAACCTATTTTTCCCTGCTGTTCCAATCCCATGCATAATCACCACCTAAACATTGCCACTCAGCTGTCTCGTCTCAACCATGCACAAAGGACTTCACTCTACCCAGGATCTCTACCTTATGTGCTCCAACTCATCAACCATGTTTCAAGTCCAAAACCAAGGCCATTGTCCATGACTCTCTTCTTTTTCCTACAGCACGTTCTGTTGGTTCAACATCTTACATAACTCCAGGGCCTGCTCATTCTCACCTCTCCTCTGCCCACTTAGATCAGGTCATCATTGTAAGGACCCAACTCAAATTAGCCTAACCCACTCCATTTGTAAAGGACTCCATCTTGTCTGGCAGGAAGGCTGTTTTATTTTGTTTTTCAGAAACTGTTTTTTTTTAAATTCAAGTGGAACCCCACTTGCATCTTGCTGGCAACACATTTGACCTCATGATGTCATAGAAAAGATTGTACAAGCTAACAGACAACCACCTTGACAAAACATTGAGAAACCACTCCAGCGGATTCCTGGAGCAGCTAGTTAAACCAAAAAACAAAATGTCAACAGTATGTACGTTCCTTCTACATCTCAAATGCTTATAAACCCCACTCTGACCTCATTCTGGGCCAATACCTTTCAGTATCAGCCACTTTCCTCCTTTAGAAAGTGAATAAAACCTTGCTTCTGCTTTAATATTTGCTTTTCTGTGAAATCTTTCATTCCCCGCACATTGGCCTCATGGACTGGGACCTAACAACCATGATCTCCAGCGTGAACTATTTAAAAAGTTTCCTAATGTGTATGCCTATCTCCTGACTACTTGTGATTTCATTTTCTCACTACCTAAAACTGTTCACTGTGATGTAGTACCCTTAAGGTCAACCCCAAACTCCTTAATGTAACTTCCCAGGCCCTTGTGACATAGCCATGGTTATGACCTTCAACTCCTCTCCTTGGTAAGCTGTAGCCATTCTGAGTCAACAGTCTTCTGCGTTCCCTAGGGTCTATCATGGTTCCAGTTATCCTGCATTTCTATGTTCTGTTCTCCCTGACTTAATACCTCTTTCCTTTTCCTAGTTAACATCTACTCATTCTTCTGAATGAAGTAGTCAACAGATAGTAGTACTCAGATGATGGATGGCACTGTTGAGTCCAATTATGCCAATATTGATATTCTGCCTATGGATCTATCCATTTCTGATAGAAGATGCTGACATCTCTAAGTAGGACAGTGGATTCATCTTTTTTGTCTCCCTGCATTTCTGTTTTTGCTTCACAGTTTGGTGCTCTGTTGTTAGGTGCATATATATCAAGTACTGGTGAAATGATTTCTTTACCATTATGTAGTGTCCATCTTTAATTACCAATAGCTCTCCTTGCTCTGGTCTGTTGTCTGAAATTAGTATAGCTACTCCTGCTTTCTTTTTATCAGCATTAGCATTGTGTATCTTTCTCCATCCTTTTACTTTTTTTAGTCTATATGTGTCATTATAGTTAAAGTAGGTTAGACCATGAGAGTGGGGTTCTTATGGTAGGATTAGTGTCCTTATGAAAAAAGACTCATCAAAGAGCTCAGTGTGGCTCAGTGGTCAAGTGCTTGTCTAGCATGCACAAGGCCCTGGATTTGACCCCCAGAAACACACACACACACACACAGACAGAGAGAGAGAGAGAGAGAGAGAGAGAGAGCAAGACCTGAGACCTTTTTCTCTCCATACACACATGGCAGAAAGGAAAGGTCACACACAGTGGAGACAATGGCCATTGTCAGGCCAAAAAGTGGGTCCTCATCAGAAACCAAATCTGTCACCACCTTGATCTTGGACTTCTTAGCTTCCAGAACTAAAAGAAATAAATGTCTGTTGTTTAAGCCACCCACTTTTGGGTATTTGGTTTTAGAAGCCCAAGCTTATTCACAAAGCCAGAAAGGGCCAGGGAGCCAAGACTCAAATCTAGGTCCATTGACAACCAAGCCTTTAACCACAGAGTTACTTGCTTATCATTCTTAATGGACGTCTAACTCTTTGTTGAATTGAACTTTCATGATTTACTTAAGTATTCCTTAACTGATCTGGGTGGAGGCCAGTTTCCGATTTCTGAGTAGTGCTGTTAAAATGTCTTTGTACATCCAGCTTTGTTCTCAGTTTGAATTATTTCCTTAAAATAAATTCCCAGAAGGGGATGTCTGGTAAGTTACACAGCTCCTGGTATGTTCTGGTGTCTGGCCAGATTTTAATGTGGCTGAAGAACTTCAGATCCAAGGGCCATTCGTTAGGTTGCTCTGACAGCACCAAGCACAGACACAAACTTTCCCCTAACATCACTACTGGGTGAGGAGGGTGGAGGAGGGCTCCAGTCCACAACTGTGATGCCCCCATCACCTGTGGCTTACAGCAAAACAGTGCTTGGCACATAGTAGTCTTGCAACAAATATCAGACTGGCTGCCTGAGACACAACTAGAAGTTCCCTTGGATCAGGTACCACACCACATTGCCAGGGCTTTTATTTACTTAACACTACAGTACATTTTGAAAACTCAAAGGGCAGGCTGGGCGGGTGACTCAGTCTGTAATCCCAGAGGAGCAGAGGTCAATTGGGAGGATCACTGTCTGATGCTGGCAAAAAGTGAGACCCTGTCTGAAAAAACAACCAAAGTAACAAAGAGCTGGGGTGTGGTCCCAGTGGTAGAGCACCTGCCTAGCAAGTGTGAGGCCCCGAGTTCAAAACCTCAGTTCTGCCAAAACAAAAACAATAAAACCTTTCCGGTCTAAAAAGAGAATTCCAAATGAGGTGTTACATTTTTACTTTGTTACATTTTCAGCAGAGTTATTTATCCCTCAATGTCTTCAATGGACACATATAAAACTAGATTTGGTGAGGAGATGGCCAGGAAGGCAATCCACGAAATTACCCTGAAATATTTCTGAAACTCATTCCTAGCTGAAGCACGTCTCTGCTGGACTCCTTCCTAACTGGTGAAATGTAAACGTGCCTCAGGCCCCAAGGGCGGACAAAGGGCATTTCACAGAAAACACACTCGGTCATGGAATAACGATTGTCACTTTAAGAGGGAGCAAATGGTTAGCCCTCAAGTCTCCCGAGGTCGTAGGTACACACGTGGAAGTACACTGGGGCAGGGAGCATGCGCAGAGCTGCGGCCCGCTCGTCCCCTTCTCACCCGCCACAGGAAGGGAGCCGAGATCCCGCGGAGAGAGGGGTACCGTGCAAAAGACGAGCGGCCGGCGCGGGAGGGCGCGTGGGGCCCTGCAGTTGGACACAGTCACTGAATCCTTCGCCCAGAGTCCCGGGGCTCGTGAGAAGTACATTTTATGCAATGGATACCTTTTAAAAGCTGAAAGAATTGTGTTCATTTGTGGGGACACGATCTGTACCTTTCCTTGGATTCTCCCCCGGCTCAGCGCCCCCCTCCGTGGGACCCCAGGTTCACAAACAGGTGTCCTAGACCGCAAGGGCCAGGGGGTGGCGGGCAGGGAGCAGGTGGCTCCAGGCCTGGCCCTGCGCGCGGCCCAGGTGACGATAGGAGAGGTAGAGGCGAAAGCCGCAAGGTGACGGGGCGGTGAGACCCGCGTCCTACCTGCGTCCCCGCGTCCGGACCCCGCGAGGCCCCGCACCGCCAGTCCCGGCGCCTCACGGAAGGGCAGACCCCAGAGCGCTCGGAGGAGGCACGCCATGACGCCCGGCCAGCGCAGAGGTGGCCTCCTTGCTGGCCAGCGCTGTCTCCACCCCTCCCACCCCCTCCCACCCCCTCCCACCCCGTGCCCTGTGCCCGAGCGCCTCCCCCACCCGCTTGACCGTGACCTTCCCTAAGCCCCTCCCCTCTCCAGCCTCCGTCAGCTCCTCCCCCTCCTGCTCCTCCCCACTCCGCTCATCCCAAACCCAAAGGCTGACCCGCGCTGGTTTGCGTTTCTAGAGTGTATATAAATGGATCCATGCAACCTGTCCTTCATTTTGTCTGGCTTCTTTCACCCAGGCTAATTATTTGGACATACCTGCGGGGTTTTGCATGAAACAATTGCTCACCGCTCCTGGGCGCTGAGTAGTGTCCCATTTGTCGATGTACCAGACTGTGCATCCACTCATCCCTTGGTTTAGACGGTTTCCATTGTTTCCCTTATTAAAACTAAAGCGGCTAGGAACATTCCTGCACAAATCTTGGGCGGGATGTAGGCGTTCTTTTCTCTTAGGTAAATAAATGCCTAGGCTAGGTCACAAGGTGAATGGTTGTTTCACTTTACACCCCTCCCCCCCCAGCAGTATTTGAGAGTTCCAGCTCTCCCAATCTTTGCCAACACTTGGATGTCGAGACTTTTAAATTGTAGCCATTGCCATTCTAATAGCGTAGAGTGCGGTCTTGTGTGGGTTTTTTGTCTGGTTTTGTTTGGGGTTTTTTTGCGGTACTGGGCTTTGAATTTATGGCTTCGCACTTGCTAGGCAGGCACTCTCCCTCTTCAGTCACATCTCCAGCCTTCCCTGTGGTCCTTTTCGCAGTCTCGAAGGCTAGTGGTGTTGAATATTTTTCCACGTGCTTATTTATCTACAGTGGATATATTTTTGTGCATGTGAAGTGTCTCTTCAAGTAGTTTTGCCCATTTATTATTAGATTATTTATTACTGAGTCTTAACCTCCTTTATATATTCTGGGTACAAATCGTTTATTCAGTTTTTCCCCCAGTCAGTGGCTTGTGGTTTTTTTTAATTTAATTTTATTTATCTTGTGTTTTTTTTAATCAAACACAGTGTCTTTAAGAAGAGCAAAAAAATTTTTTTAACAGATTGTGCTTTTTTAGTATCATATTTAGGAAATCTTTGCCTAATCCAAGATCACAAAGAGTTTCTGTGTTTTATCCTGAAAGTTTTATAGTTTTATGTTTTACATTTTGAGTTAATTTATTGCATATGGAAACATTTGTTTATTTTTCTGTTTTAACATATCAATATCTAATAGTTTCAGTACCATATGTTGCAAAGACTACCCTTTCACCACTGAGCTGCCTCTAAATCTTTGTCGAAATTTAGTTTTTGGCTGGCAGTGTGGCTCAGTGGTAGAGCACTTGCTTAGCATGCACAGGCCCTGGATTTGAACCCCAGCACCTCAAACAAACAAGCAACAATGAAACAACACGAGGTTCTGTTTCTGTGCTTCCTATTCTGTCCTGTTGATCAGTTTGTCTATTTTACATCAATATCACAGTGTTCCCGATCACCAGACTCAATCAGCTAGCATTAATGCTGTAATTCTGTTCTTTTTCAAAGATGTTTTGGCCATTTTAGGTCTTTTGCATTTCAGCAAGAATTTTAGATGCAAGCTGGGCGCCAGTGGCTCACACCTGTAATCCTAACTACTCAGGAGGCAGAGACTGGGAGGACAGAGGTTTGAAGCCAGCCCCAGGAAAACAGTTTGTGAGACCCTTTCTTGAAAATACCCACCACAAAAAAAAAGCTGGCAGAGAGGCTCAAGTGGTAGAGTGCTTGCCTAGCAAGTGTGAGGCCCTGAGTTCAAACCCTAGCACTAACAAAAAAAGATTTTTTTAGATTCAGTTTCTCAATTTCTACAAATTTGCTTGAATTTTAATTGGGATTGTATTGGCTTTGTCCATATATTTGAGGAAAATTGTTATAATAATAATGAATCTTCTGACTGATGAATAAGATATACCTCTGACTTTATTGAGGTATTTTTTTGTGAGGAGAGGGAGTTTTGAAGTCAGGGCCTCACACTTGCTAGCCAGGTGCTCTACCACTCAAGACACTCCACCAACCCCTTTTGCAATATTTATTTTTGAGATAGGGTCTTGCTTTATGCCTGGATCATGATTCTCCTATTTGTGCTTCCTGGAGTAGCTGGGGATGACAGGTACACCAACACACCCAGCCATTGACTGAGATTGAGATGGGGTCTCACAAACCTTTTTGCCTGAGCTAGCCTTCAACCTTGATCCTCCTACTCTCTGGCTTTTGAGTAGCTAGGCTTATGGGGCTTGAGCCACTGTGCCTAGCCTTCTTTAATGTCTGTCAGCAGTGTTTTGGAGTTTTCATTGTATAGATATTGCACATTTGACAGATTTGTCTGGAAGTATTTCATATTTTTGTTATATTATCCTTTAATTTCAATGTCTGCTTGTTTAGTACTAGTATGTACATTTTGTACATTGATCTTGTGTTCTGCAGTTTTGCTAAACTCATCTACTAAACATTGAAATGGATTTTTTCTGATTGTCTGCATGTTATCATGTTATCTGTGAATGTCTCTTTTCCTTTTTAATACAGGTACCATCTATTTCTTTTTCTTGTCTTATTCTTGTGACAGAGCCTGTGACTGAACATCCTTGGCTTGTATCTGGTCTTAGAGAAAAAGCATTCAGTCTTTCATAATTAAGTATGAAATAGCTCTAGTTTTCCATAGATACTCTTCATCAGATTGAGGAAACCCATTTATTTGTAGTTTACTGACAGGTTTTGTTTTACTTATTAATTTTTTCTGTACTGGGGATTGAACTCAGTGTCTGTGAATGCTCTGAAAGCCCTCTGCCACTTGAACCACAGCCCTATCCCTTTTTGGTTTTATTTTGATTTGAAATAGGTTCTCTTGCTGATTTTGCTTGAGCTGGCTGTGATCATCCTATCATTCTTGGCCTCCTGAGTAGCTGGGATTACAGCAAACCCTGCTTGCTGAGAGCTTTCATTGGGGAAGGATGTTGGATTTTGTTTGTTTGTCTGGTTGGTTTTTGAGACAGGGTCCTAAAATATAGCCCTGGCTGGCTTCCAACTCACTATATAACCCAGTCTAGCCTTAAACTCAAGGTCCTCTTGACTCAGCCTCCTGAGTGCTGGGATTACATATATGTAGCACCACACCTATGGGAATGTTAGAGTTTGGTCACATGATTTTCTGCAGTTATTGATATAATCATACTTTTTTCTTACTTCTGTTTACTCTTTTTTTCTTTTTTAAGCTTGTTGACTTTTTTTTCATGGTACTGGGACTTGAACTCAGAGTCTACACCTTGAACCACTCCACCACCCCTTTTTTGTGAAGGGTTTTTTTGAAATAGGGTCCCTGGGATGGCTTTGAACCGTGATCCTCCTGATCTCTGCCTCCCGAGTAGCTAGGATTACAGGTGTGAGCCATTGCACCTGGCTAGCTTATTGATTTTTAAGTATTAAACCAATTTGCTTTAAATGTTAAACTAATTTATTTGTTCAGTATTCTGCAACAATGCCCGCTTTACCTAACATTTTATTATTTGTTTTTTATATGGTTGGATTTCATGAATTAAATTTTTTAGGGATTTTGCATCTAAGTTTATGAGGAGTATAAGCCTGTAGTAATTTTTTTTCCTATGATATCTGTCTGGTTTCATATCTGAGTAATAAGGAAACAGATTCAGATCCAGGGAGGTTAAATATCTTGTCAGAGATTGTGCTGCTAATTACTTGAAGATTTTGCAAAGTCTCCCTAAAGTTTAGATGTAAGGAAATATTAAATAGCAGAGGCTTAGCCTATCCATTTTCACTCTCAATCCCAAGTAAAGTTAAGAAATAAATTCAGTATTGTGACCTTGTGATCTAACACAGACCTGATCAGAATACCTTAGGTCTGAAAGATACATGACGTTGGTCAAGTATCTAGTGTGTCAGCGTCCCTGTGATGGGATAGTTGCAAGGTTTAGATCAATGGGTATCAAAACACCAGCAAACCATCAGGCACACAGTTGGCTTTAATAAATGTCACTTATTGTTAAGAAGACCTAGTGGGAAAACAGTGATTGGTAAACAGGGTTGGTCTGTCCACCCCTGTATTTCTGCATATCCTCATACTCCCAGCACCTCCCTCCCTCCCACCATTGCCCTTTAACTCTGCAAGGAGAACTCTTGCATTGTCTTTGCTCAGGCCCTTTCTGGTTTTGAAATGACCTATCATTTGTCTAAATCCAACTTTCCCATCAGGAAAGACCATGTGCTAATCTCAAATTCATGGCCAAAAGGTCTTAGCCTGAATGAAACACTTTCTTTTTTACTCTTTATTTCATACACTGCGAGGGACACACACACTACTAGTTGCCTGGTCAGTAGTGAAATGGGAGATTTGTGTAGGGCCTAGACCAGATTCTTGTCCCATAAAACCAAAAAACAAACTTCACAGACGAGAAAAGTGTAAAACAGGAGTTTATTGAGATAGAAAAGTGTAAAGTAGGAGAATCCCCTGCCAGAGTTGGGGGAGGGGTGAGTCCCAAGAGAGGGTGGGTGCCTGAGAAATGACGTGATCTGAGGTTTATACCCATTCTCTCCAGGATTGCTCATTCTCTATGCTAATTAAGTGTGCAGAAAGCAGCATTTTGGTTGGCTGTTCCTGAAGTGTTCTAATTGGTTGGTCTTCATCCTCACACCATCTGTCCTGCCTTTCCTTTTTCCACTTTTTAATAATAGAGGTTTCCAGGGACCCTTCCTTCTGTCTCAGTAGCCACAGTCTTCTCTTCTTATTTACAAACACACCTTTGGTTTTACTGACAGTAACAACAAGCCTAGCTAACACATTACAACCACCAGCTTCTTTGTAGTTCACAGTGGTCATATGACATGTTTTGGGGCAATGATAGAAGCAGAGAGCACTGGAAGGCTGCCAGGAAGACTAAAGAGCAACTGACACAGCACCAGCCTTTTGCTTTTCTTTTTTTTCCTGTTCAGAAGTTAGTCATGATGGTTGGAGC